ACTATTTGTAGTTACCTGTTGAGCTTTGAGGTAATGGCTGACAAAGTGCTGTTGTAATTTCTCATTGGCATAGTTGATGCAAAGCTGTTCAAGATTATTCATTTGGAAACATTCAAAGCCATACACATCAAGGACCCCTTGAGAGAAAATGAGACTATTTGTTATATAACTTGATAATTACTGTAATAAAGCATGTACACTTAAAGATCCAATATTTACCTATAAAGTTGGACCAAATAGTACTGCCTGTGCACATGCTGTTATTGATGAATGTAACCAGCCATTCAAATAACCTGGGGAAGACAAATACAACAGGATGAAGTGTCTTTCATCATTGTTGAATTGTTAAACATTTAGACCTTACTCAGCATAGATGACTTTAGCCAGACAGTCTCTCCTGACAGTACACTCAGTTTGGGAGCACGGCTTTAGTACACTCTGCCTCCCGGCCTTCAGTGTTCTTACTCGCAAACAGGCCTCTAGCTCCTCAGCAGTGACTCCCAAAAGCTCAGCAGCAATTTGGAGGTAGTCTGGTGAAATATAAGATTTCAGTTTATTTTAGTGTTTGTTCAAATTAAAGCTAAAACACTTTTTGGCACCTTTAGACTGTCCCTCGAGGTCACACGGTTGTGAATAATCTGAAGGAGAGGAAAACTGTACATTTCCCAGGTGCAAAATCCCTGCTAATATCTGAGATATATAAATTTACACATAGTCTGATCATCATTACATTCATTTTAAAGACTGAAATAAACAGATGTGTTATTATATCGATCTTGATCAAGTATATTTATAAAGTAAAAAATTACCCTAAATATTTCCCTTTGTTGTTCAGTGTCAATACCCAGATGCCCCATGGCCTCAAGGGTCTCCTCGAAACAATCCTCTTTAAAGGTGACAGAAAACAGTTCAAGTCAGTGTCAGAAATATATTAATTTCCTTTTAGAAATCAGTGATACAGACCCTCTAAAGTTTTATCTGCATGTGGAAGCCAGGCAAAAACTTGATCATAGTGCGTTTTCCACTCTTTTCTTTGCTCAGTGGTCGCTCCTTTCATCATCTGTTTAAAATAACACACAGTATAATGTATACTGCAAAACTGGCTGTATAAAAATTATTTAAAAAAGGTCGTACACACACCTGGTAAAATATATGAAAGTTTCTTTCACCAGTTGGTTGAAAGGCCACTCTAGTCTTCTCCAGCAGATATGTTTGCACAGACCCTCCCACTAACAGGTGACACCTTTACATAACAATATCATATTAACAGATTAGGGCAGATTATGAATGAGCTTTTGTCTGGTAAGTAGTAAATACAACAGAACGTGATGAGTGCCTGCTCTAAGTACCTGTCCAGCTGAAGCTGAATGTACTTCCCAAAGCGACTGCTGTTGTTGTTTCGTAGTGTACAAGCGTTTCCTGCAGCAAAGAACAGTCAGGTCATTTTCAAATGTAACGTTATATATAATTATATTTAATGATTTCCATTCTTACCAAAGGCTTCCATGATTGGGTTGGAGTCCAACACCCTCCTCTCAATCCTTTCCACTGTGTTCTGACTCTTTGCAACAGATGAAGATGCAGCTACAGTGGCATAATATTTCATGAGACATCGAGAGGTCCATGTCTGCACAGAGCAAAACAAAACACAATGCATCATGACTTGACAAGATAAGGATGAATACACTAGATATAGATAAGCAAATGTGTCTTATATCACTACATGAAAGTTTACCTTTCCAGCCCCACTCTCACCACTGACCACCAATGACTGGTTCACAGGTTCCAACTGACCCTTCACATTCCTGTAGGCTTCTTCGGCCACAATAAAAATGTGTGGTTTGGATTCCTAATATGTCAAAGACACTCATATTACATTGTGCCCACATACAAGGTGACCTCTTAAAGAGAAGCCTTACCTGAGGCTGAGGACTGCAGTGATACTCTCTCATCACATCCAGAGAGTACAGGTATGGGATGGGCTGGAAAGGGTTCAAAGCCACTAAGGTGCAGCCTGCATGAGTGTAAAACACCTTTGCACTGTACCTGGCCTGCAGGCATTTCAACACTGGCAAAGAAAACATTAAGGAAATCAGATATTTACAGTAAGTCACGGAAATATGTTCAGAATGTTTCGCTCTTTTGAAGAAACATTTGTACCAACTGAATACTGTTCTACACAACAGTTGCACACTAATGGTAAAGTTTTATTGTAACGTGTTTATGTGAGCTGCAGTATAATATCATTACTGTTATGCCCAAGCCCTTAATGCAGGCCAATAACACCAAGTAAATATCACAGTTCAAGGTGACATAAAACAAAGCCCGTGTGACATACTAGCAGTGTTAATCATGTCCTTACTCGAACTAGGAAGTACGAGCACATAAGTCCTGTGCTCAGGTCTCTGCACTGGCTTCCTGTGCCTCAGAGAATAGACTTTAAAACAGCTCTGCTTGTACAAGTCTCTCCATGGCCGAGCACCAAAGTACATCTGTGACATGTTAGTGTCATATGAACCATCTCGCACTCTGAGGACCTCAGGGACCGGCCTCCTGCTGGTGCCCAGAGTCACGACTAAACAAGGGGAGTCAGCGTTTCAGGTTCATGCAGCTAAAACTTGGAACAGTCTTCCTGAACATGTGAGACAGGCCTCTTCTGTGACGCTGTTTAAATCCAGGCTCAAAACATTTCTGTTTAACTGTGCATATGACTGAAAGGTTTTCATTCCGCACTCTTCTCTCCAATTTATGTCTCTCTTTTTTAATTTTAATCTTCATGATTATTTATGTTTTGATTTGTTTTTATTATGATTTTAATGTATTTCTTATTCTGTAAAGCACTTTGAATTACTTTGTGTACAAATTGTGCTATACAAATAAACTTGCCTTGCCTTGCCTTGCCTAAAGAGTGGCTCAAATTCTATTAAATATTTCAGATATGAGACTTTTATACCTGTTGAAGGTGTCACAGGATTTACTTTGGTGAGGTCATCATAAGTATGAAGCTGGTCCTCATCTGTGAGGAACAACCGAACATCTTCATCCAGAGAATCGTTCAGGGACTGAGGGGACAGATGGATAATTTTGGAAGATTCTTGTACCTGTAAAGAGCAATGCTGCTTACATTATGAAACTATGTAAATGTCCTGCACAAAAGCAAAAGATTAACGGTATATGTTTTTATGGACCTCTTGCTCTATAAAACACTTTGCATACAAATTGTGCCATACAAGACTTTAATATTCTACAAAACCTTTGAATTATCTGTTCCATTATCATCTGTAATAAAAATAAATTTTAGACTAACTCAAAATTAAATGATATTAGAACTGATGTAACCTTACTGAATAACTGCACTGGAAATGCATGTCATATGGCTTAACCAACATCTGCTACCAACTCTGGCACACACACATAAGGGCTTAAACAGTGCACAACTTTAATCTATCACTAGCCACTATATCTTACAACAAAGCAGATAGTAACTGTGCCATTTTCATTAAAAACACACACACACAGAGACACACACACAAACACACTGTACGTTACATGGTTTTCACTCTTTGCTTTTAGAACAGTTGGGGGTTTGCATAGAGTTGCCGATACATAAGAAATTACATTTCATAACAAATAGAGACCTCCCTGTAAATAATTTTTATGGTACTACATGTTTAACTGGAAGAAACATTAAGCAACAGACCAGATACCGTTTACTCACCGTTTCCATTCCATTTCTATTTCCACGGGCGTCCACAGAGTTCATTTAGATTACTCCAAACCTCCAGATCTGACAGAATATTAAAGCTATATAAGTTGTTTTCGCAATATTTTCTTTATCAGCATGGAGTCTGGACGTTCATTTTCTCCTCTCTGTCTTACATTCCTCAAGGACAACTTCAGGCAGTCAGCCGCCTGTCCACGGGTTTTCCAGCTCCACAATCCTGTTATTCCCGCCCTCTTGCTAATACTTCACGGGCACAAACTTACAGAAATGTGTTTTAGTGTAATACTCTCAGCATATCTAGTTTGAGCGCGCATTGAATAATAACACAGTTGGATTTTTTGTGTGTCAAACAACATTATTCATTATTCATTAGCATTAAACGATCAAACCAAATATTGTAAAATCTGGATTAAGCCATAAAAACGAGGTCCCTTGAACGTCACATGAGGCAGAGCGTGAGCGGAAGGACGCACGCTTGGCTCAGGCAGAACTGGACATACCTGCTGCAGAAAGACTGAAAGCGGGTATTTTTTGAGACTATCTTACGTCTTTCTGATAAATTTGGTAAGATTTTAAATCATTTTCTGGATCAGCTTATTACATTTTGTGCTTTAAAATTAGTTTGGCGCCTTTTGTGCTAGGCTAGCATATCTTAAATGGCCTATAATACGCTATGTTTTGATATGCTGTAATGCTGTTTCCTCATCAGAAACATACCCGAAATTGTTTTGTTTCATTTACACAAGTTTAACAAACAAACCGTGCAAAATTATGCTGAATTCTTCTCTCAAACACTTCCACCTTGTGATGTCATGTGGTAAAACAGGAAGTACTCCACTTTGTTTTTAAACTCCATGAACTTTCACTAGACTCATTTGGATATTCCATGGCTGAAATGATCCAGTCTCTGCTGAACTAAAGGTAATAAAGAATTACTCAAACTTGTGTGAATAAAACAAAACTCCAGGTATGTTTTTGAGAAGGCAATGTCATTATAACATAGCTTAAAACTCACAAGAATCAATTGTGCATAATATTGGACTTTTATTGTGAAAGCATATTATATACTTAAGCTAAATTACTGTTTTTATTACTAATACCAACTACTTATACTGGCACTGAAAAACTGGAATGTATTTGATTTGTTTTATTATAATTATTATTATTTAATGTGAGCACTTTGAATATTTGCAGGCCATGTCTCAGAAGGAACTCAAGGAAGCTTTTGTCAGTCATCTCAATGGTACCAGTTTGATGGAGGTGACTCTTGGTTCTTCCCTTGCTCCACTGTGCTTTCTCAACAGAGGACTGCTTCTAATCCTGTGTGACAGAGGTTCAGAAGCTCTGCCAAAACCAACGCAATCCATTTTACGTCTTCTTTTTGATTATACTGTGGTGATAGCTCCCCTCGTCCTTTCATGCACAATTCTTAGTGACATTCTTTTCCAAGTTGTCATTAGTCTATCCCTTATTTCTATGTGTATGCTTGTCTATATCTGTCTTTCTAGCACACACTCAATTGACCAGCAACCAAAGGCTTTTTTCGAAAGCCACCTTCAGTTTGAAAGAGTTCCATTTGTCACCAACTTCCGAGTTTTTGTCATTTTGAAAACGTCCATTAGCATATTGGCTGTAGATTTTGCAATCTTCCCCAGGAGATTTGCCAAAACTGAGACCTATGGCACAGGGGTCATGGATTATGGTGTTGGAGGGTTTGTCTTTGCAAATGCCCTCGTCTGTTCAGAAGCTCGGGGAAAAGGCATCATGGGATCGAAGTTCAATTACATCACAAAACAGCTGGTATCTGTCTGGCCTCTGGTTGCGCTTGGTATGGGGAGGTTAATAAGTGTAAAAATGACTGGTTATCAGGAGCATGTGACAGAATATGGTGTCCACTGGAATTTCTTCTTCACACTAGCCCTAGTCAGAGTGTCTGCATCAATATTTTTAGCTATTATGCCAGTCAACCTGTGTTTGATTTTTGCTTTGTTGATTGCTGTAATGTATCAGTTTATTTTAGACACAACTGGGCTGAAAGAATTTATTGTCCTCAACAATGACAGAGATTTGGGCTTTCTTCACGCCAACAAGGAGGGTATATTCTCTGCAGTGGGATATGTGGCCATCTACCTTGCAGGTGTACATGTGGGAGTGTTTATTATGCAGCAGCGTGTGACTGTAAAAGAGTGGCTACGTGCACTTATTTATCTTTTAATGTCAAGTCTGGGTCTGTATGCTGCTGTGTGTTTATGTCAGGTACACCTGGAGCCTGTTTCCCGGCGCTTGGCTAATTTACCGTTTTGTTTTTGGAGTATTGCCCAGTCCCTCTTTTTTTTAACTTCTCTTGGTTTGGCTGATTTGCTTCTACTGTTTTCTAAAAAGGCATTAAGTGTTGACTGTGTGCCATCTTCATGGAGTCTGTACAGAAAAAAGGAGGACCTTTCGCCACTGAAAAATAAAGATGATTTGAAAAGACTTTGCCTTTTTCAAGCTGTCAACAGAAATATGCTGATATTTTTCCTGCTTGCTAATGTCATCACTGGAGCGACAAACTCAGTAGTGGATACACTAAACTGTACTAAGGAGTTCTCTGTGTATGTTTTGCTGTCTTACATGTTTCTGAATTGTTTTGTAATATATGTTTTACATATCTTTGGAATTACATTAAAATTCTGGTAAAAGTAATTTTTTATTCATTATAATAAATGTATATTTGAAACTTTATTAATGTTTGTGTTGTTATACACATCAAGTGCATGTAAAAATAAAAAAATAATGCCTTTTTTAATAACTAAATTATTGACATCATGAAATCAGTGTTTTGATTGCATTTTTAGAATTTAGTAGGTTTTTTTGTAATGTATAACTATGTAGGTTCAAGGCATTCTTTCTTCTTGTGCTCATTTACAATGAGAAACTTTTTATATTTGCATATATTTTATTTTAAAGATGAACAAGATTTTGGTTAGATACTGCATTAAATCATGGTCATGGATGAAATCATTTGGGACGTGATAGTAATGCTAAAATCCGCGCAGCAGATCTGGCAACCTGGACTGGGGGCAAAGGTCAAAGTAGTGATGAAGGTTCCGTCTCAGTAGAGGAGCCGCACTTGTTTATTTTGTTTTTAAAATTATATTTGAGGTAAGAAGGAAATGCACTGTATGCAGTATTATTGTTGATTTTATGCTAAACCTGCCTGTAGATACTGATAATCCCACTGCTTCTAAAAGTTGTCTTTAACTAGCGCTGGTTACTTTATATTAGCTTGCTAACTGAAGCTAAGTAGGACAACAGTGCTAATGTAGTCAGTCACACTCAAGTTTGGAAAAGGGGAAAGAGCCGCTGTAGTCTCTGGCTGTCTTAAAAGGTTTGTTTGAATCTGTAGTAAAATACTGGCTTAATTGTGTTACTTGTAAAAGAAGAAAATAAATGCGATAACAGCATTTTCATTTAACTCTTGGCTAATTGAAAGTTGCACTGTCAAATTTGGTTCGTGCTATTGGTGCTAACGTTAGCTAGCAAACTAGCATTCGGATGGGCATTCAGCTTCATAGGAATATATTTATCATGAGTGGACGTTATTTCATACTTTTTTAACAATAATCACATGTTTTTTTGTTGTTGTCTCTAGGTATTGGTTTAGACACATTTTATTTCCTAATAGTTTCTGATTCTGTCTCCTGTTGCTTTTCCTCAGTCACTTGGATCCATTACCATTTAAAACAACGAATTAAACGTAACTTGTGTTAAAATAAACTTTGGTAAGATATTGATCTTAACGTCTATACCTTGTCGGTGACTTTAGGTGAGGGGCATAAATTATGGCACGTTTGGTTGCAATTTGTCGGGACGGGGAAGAAGAATACCCATTTCTTACCAGACAGATCCCACTGTACATTGATGACAGCTTAACTGTAAGTAACCAAATGCAGTATTTTAAATATAGAATAAAAGCATTTATTGATTGAGACTGATATTGAGGATTGCTAAATTCCTTCTTTACTCAATGCATGCATGTTTTTTTCAGATGGTTATGGAATTTCCTGACAGTGTTGCTGATGTTGATAGCAATGATATCAATTCCCCCTCCTTTAAACAGTTTTCTAAGGTTGGTGAAGAGAAGCACACCTCTTGAAATATACTGCTAACTTGTGGATTTTATTTTTACAAGTTTGTGTCTATCTTTCAGTATTACTCCAAACTGACACATCAGGACTTGAATATTGCTCTAATGGTGACATCTAGAGAGGTCTACAGTGCTCTGTCACAGTTTGTTCCATGTGTGGGCTGTAGGAGGAGTGTGGAGCGCCTCTTTTCTCATCTAGTTGAATCAGGGAGCCCAGCTTTGGTACCCCTCACTGTGAAATCTACAGCCATGCTTTCTGTAACAAAGTCCTGTATGTCAGATTTGAAGAAGCTTTACTCTCTCTTCTACGTTCATGGGCAAGTATATTTTAAGTATATATTTGTATATACTTACTGTATTTTATATTTATGCTACTAAAAGGTAAAACATCTTATTCAGGAAAGTGTTCAGTCTAAACTGGCGGGACAAGGGGAATGTCAGTCACATTCTGTTAACTTTATATTCCTAAACATATTCCTCTTTTTTTTCTAAATAGGTCAAAGTTAAATGATTTGATTGACGCCATTCCAAAAAGCAAAAAAAATAAACGATGTCAGTTACACTCCTTAGATACACACAAACCCAAGCCTTTAGGGTAAGTGATACACCGCAAAATAAACCCTACACTGTTATGCTAAATCATTCTTTGTTCATTAAAAAGAAAAATGTGTGTGATCGCAGGGGAAGCTGGATGGATGTGTGGGAGCTCATGTCACAAGAATGCAGGGATGAGGTGGTGGTCATCGATAGTGCATGTCTCCTAGAGACACTAGAGGAATACCTGCGTAAACACAAGTAATTGTAACTAATATGGCTTTTAATCATTTGAAAAAAAAAAAGTGTCTGTAATTATAATTCAAAATGTGTACCCATTTGCAGATTTTGCGCTGATTGTAAAAATAAAGTGCTAAGAGCATACAACATCCTTGTAGGGGACTTGGACAGCAGTAAAGAGAAGGGCTACTGTGCTGCTCTGTTTGAAGGTTTGTGCTGCTGTCCACATGAACGCCACATACATGTGTACTGTGAGACTGACTTCATTGCTCACCTTCTTGGTCGGGCTGAGCCTGAGCTTTCTGGGGGCTATGAGTAAGTATATTTTTAAGTAGAATTTTTGTTGAAAATTAAATCTAAGATATTCTATATTTGACAAAACAATTTATTTACAGACGAAGAGAGAGACACGCTAAGACTATTGATATTGCACAAGAAGAGGTCCTTACCTGTATAGGTATTCACCTTTATGAACGACTGCACAGAATTTGGCAGAAACTCCGAGCAGAAGAGCAGACATGGCAGGTTTTATTTCATTTAGGAATTGATGCACTACGGAAAAGTTTTGAGGTATGTTTATAAATAAATATACTAGAAAGAGTAAAGGGTTACTTATTATGATTGGTCTTAAAAATGTTTTCTAAAATTCTAGATTGCAGTGGAGAAGTTGGAGGGCATCAGTCGGCTAGAGCAGTTTTTTGAAGAGCTGTCTGAAGAAGAGAGGGCTAAAGAGCTTAAACTGGAGAAAAAAAGACAAAAGAAGAAAAACCGTCGCAAAAATAAGTGTGGCAATGAGATGGCTGAACAGGAAGCGGAGATTGAGAAGAGAGTCCCTGACGTGGTAATTTGGTGTAACACTGGTAGCAATAATTGGCATTGTGCATTAGGCCTTATTTAAGTGTATTGTTTATGCTTTAATTCAGGGATCTGTTGAGTCTGTGGAGAGCTGTTGCCATGGCTGTGAAAGCCATTATGAAGATGAAAATGTCTGTCAAGACCCAGTCACTACTAATGAAAACATGTCCTGCACGTGCTCAGGCAACACCAAACAAGGTAAGTGGCAGAATGTTATAGTGCAATAGTTTTATATTTATATCACTAAACAATACAATAATTATTCATATTTTTCTAAAGATCTGTCTACGCACAGCAATGGTAGTGACTGTGGGTACTCATCAAGCAGTGAAATTTGCTCTCGAGAAGGTTCAGATGTTGCCTGCTCAGATGGAATTTGCAACCATGATGAAACAGGTCTGATCAGGACGAATGAGAAAGCCCACGATGGACAGTCATTTTTAACATGACATGTTTAACATTGTGCTTTGTTCATCTTAAAGGTGATAACAGTAATATCCATTGTACTGAAGATGGAGCAGACTGTTGTCTGGACTGTTGGCACAAAGAAGAGCAATGTGCAAGTAAAAAAGGATCATGCTCTGATCTATGCAACAATGAGGTACAGGATCATGGAGCACATTTACGGTCTCCCATTCTTCTGAATTGTCTGACTTAACTTGTTTACAATTGTTACAGGGACATAAGGATGAACAACAACTATTGCACTTGCACCCAACCAATGAAACCCTTTCGTGTGGAAATACTTTGGCCAACAGCACCTTACATTGGCCTTGGATTGCACATAAACCGGATTGTGGGTTCAAAATTACTCTTTTGGAACTACAGGTTAGTGTCTAAATGTTTGCACCACTGATTGCATGTTTTGTGTATTTACAAAATATAAAGAAATGTTGAGATCTTGAACTGTCTTGATGCAGGAGTCTACGGTTTATTCAAATGAAGAGAATGGCTTAACCAAAGAGGAAATCCAGTCATTCTATGAAAAACATCCAACATTCCTCCAAGAACGCCATCTATTCCGCCAGCGCATTAAGAAAAGATTCTTTGACTATTGCCATGCTGCTACAAGGAGGAAAGTGGTTGGCCACAGCTAGTGTCAATAGCTGCATTAAAGTTGCTCTCTAGTGAAAATTTTCATGACTGCAATATATTTTTGGTATATTTGAAAGTATGTGATGTCTAATAATTTCTCTCAGATGCAAATGTGATTATATATTGTTTAGTCATGGTTAACTTGCACTTTTCACACATTTTTCTCATCTCATATAACACTCAACTCAGTCATTCTCTGATCAGGCCTAGTTTGTTGGTTCTGTGTAGAACTGTTGATTAGGAGCACAGTGCAATTGTTCATTGGCTTTACAAGCTGTGACTTAGGGATACCTTTTAGTCTTATTGTGACTTTTTAATGTTTGTTAAATTTGATGACACGCCTATGTATTGGTGATAGATTAAGTGTAAATTGTACAGAAATGATTGAATATAAATATTTTACAGACATTATATATTTGTGATAGGGATATGGGTGTAATGTGATTAAAATAACAATTTCCTGAATAAAGAATATTTATTATAAGTCTGTTTTTGGATTTGAATATAAATGTTACAAATTACCTATAGATGGCAGCAGACATCCACTTACACTAGGGGATTGTTAACACCAGTTTACAAGCTCGAACAGAAAGTAGGAGGTGAAGCGACCCGAGAGCACTCTACTGTACTCCGTGTGGATCACTGTGAGCGGATGGACCGGGCTGTGGCGCTCTGACCGCCTCTTCCCTGGATTATCTGGATGCGATTGAAACTGGACCACATCTCCCTCTTTATCACATTGCTCCCAACATCAGATACTCTCAAGGCACCTCGTGAGTGGAGCGGGTAGGAGACGCTCGTGGAAACGGGGCTGTAAATCCGGGCTGGTGCAGCTAGAGCCGGTGTGGCTAGAGCCGGTGCGGCGGGGATGGAGCGCTGGAAGGGCAGAGTGGCCCTGGTCACTGGTGCCTCTGTGGGGATCGGAGCGGCGATCGCTCGGGCGCTGGTCCAACAGGGCATGAGAGTGGTGGGCTGCGCCAGGAATGTCGACAAGATAGAGGTAAGTTTACAGAGTGTCACTGTCCGCTATGAATGAATCAGTGCGACTGAAGAGCTAGCTCTCTCACTACACAACAGTCTGGCTAACAGTAGCTTAACTAGCATAACAAACGCTAGCTTTATCTGGTCTTCAATGTCATTTTGGATCATAATCATTTTTTAAAGCTTTTAAACATTTCATCTGGTATGAATTGCCTGGTGAACATAATGGTGTTTGTTTTAAATGCAGTCACTAATTACGAAACTTGATAAAGCTCGAGACACAGGTGACAAGTTTTACATTTACATTTAAAAGAGCACTTCATAGATTGAATTTTCTAATATCCAATTAGCTTCTTATTAATGTGTAACGCCCGATAATCAGCCTCACCACCTTCCTTTATCCTGTTATTCACTGTCATAGGAGTGCATTTACCATTGATTGACAGAAGATAACCGCTTACATCATTAGTCTTGCCTTCCTATCTTTACAGTGATAAATCTTTTTACAATTTCTGGTCAGATTTAGGCCATTATAGATATTTTAGGAAATTGAAAATTTAAATTCAACAGTATATATACATTATTTAATTTATTACCGCGCAAAATAACAATTAATACTCGTGTTAGTATCTGTGGATTCTTGCATAAAATTTTTTCCCACAGTATTGACTGAAAGGACACACCTCTTTAGTGCTCAGGGCCTTCCTTAATCCATAAGACACTGAACCTTCCTTATCTGAAGAGCCAATAATTATTAAGCTAGTCTCCTTTTTTACAGCTAGGGGTTTGCACAAAAAGTTATCAGTCTTGTCCACAGAGCTGAAATTTGCTATTCATAGTAAGCCTAGATCTGCATTGTTTAAGTAATTTTTAAACTAAGTATAGGCCTACCATTGTTTGTAATAATTGATTGACCTGGGTACCACTGAGTTAGTGGGCAAATCAGCCAGTCAAGCAAATAAGCCTGTCATTCTTCCTAGGCTCCCATATTTACTCTCTAATCTTCTCTTTCTCTCTTAAATGTGTTTTGATCAAGTCCAACAGTGCTACAACATATTTTTGCTGCCTGTCTACACACCCACACCCCTCAGTGTTGTGCAATGGCACCCTCCATTCATACTCTGGTCACATGGGTCGCTGTCAATAGTTAACTGCACTAGCTTGCCTCTGTTTAGTGTGACTTGTATAAGCCTTAAACAAGGTCAGTGCCGCTTTGAAGTCCCACTGTAAAGCATATCAAATACAAAGGCTTGTTTTATGGTTCGATGGTTTCAGCACTACCAGTACTTTTTGTCTTATTAATTAATTAATAGCAAATGGCACATTTTTTATGCACATTGTTGAAATTGTCGCCTTCGTTGTTGAATCAATGAAGTGGTATTGTGCTGATAAATCATATGAATCATAATTTGTTATGGGTAGAGATGTCAAGACCTATAGTTTAATCAATAACTTGTGATTATTCAGGTCACAACATGATCCTTAGAACTGAAGAATTGTAATCGTGGCATCTTTAGAAGCTTTATTTTTAATATTCAATCTATTGTCTAAAAAAGTACACCTTAATTTATAGTACTTTTCATTTGGCTGTCTGTGTAATCCTTCATTTGGATCATTAGGATCCATAGCATTTTTTATCTGGCTGTTTATGTGACATTGACAGTGGATGTCCATCTCATGTCATTATTTTTCAGCCTTAGGGGCAACACAAACATTTTTCCAACATTTTACCACTTGAGGCAAGATAATTCCTTACTGTTTATCATGCAACGTGATATAATACCATAGCATACTATCTGATTTTCTTCATTGTCTTCAGATTTCATCACATGTGAGACCTCAAAGATACATCTGTGTATGGAGGCACAAAGCCAGTATTGTCCTCTGTGCTTTGTAAACTGGGCTCTTGCTGTACTGGTGCCAAGGCTGGCCTGCTCCTTGTGGGGGATGAGAGCGTCCATCACCAACTGTTCTTGACTTGTTTCAATAAGTTAAACATTGCCAGATTTGTTCAATAGTTTCCTCACATTCTATTACAGAGAAAAGTGAAATGTCTTTTCAGTTTAAGTTGTGAGTATTTTCTTTTTCATGTGCCTAACAAAGTGTAGAGAGTTGTGGAGAGTTGTAGAGAGTTGTGTTGTGGTATTGTGTAGTGTCTGAGGCTCTGAAGTGGAGGGGGGGCACTGAAAACGTGTGGTCACCAAGGGCTGTGGACTGGAATGGAGTCCACAAGACCACATCCAAATAGCCTCAACACTCAGTAACCTCAACCCAGTCAGGAAGAATAAATTAAAAATAAGATCACTTTTTTTGTTTCACACTGATCAATAACAATTTTGAATACACAATGTTTTGTCTAACAGTAAATAAAAATAGTAAAATTTCTTCCACCAAAGTCTGAACTCTACTCCAAACTACATGGTTTTACTGCCTTAAGCATATCCATATCCTTAAGCATATAATTGACAAATTTGCTTATTTTAAGGTACTTTTAAACTGTAACTTTTCGGTTGGGGATCTGGCACCTTTTTGTTTCCATGGATATGTCATTGCTCTGCTTAGAATGTTCCACAATATGACACTAAACAGGTCTGTCTTACATTTATTCAATTGCAGGTGGTTTTATAGCTCAAAAATACCTAGAAAAACATGCATTCTGACTGTGAGCGGGGTTGCGTCTTCACAGATCTGACCAGTAACCTGATTTGTAGGGGTGTGCAAAAATGTCAAATTATCAACATATCATATCGTTCAATGTGATGATAAGGTGTCAGTGTCATGGACTGCTGTATCGATATACCACCAAGAATATTTTTTGGTATATTTTACTAAATTATTTTATTACAGCGCTGCAGTTTAGAGAAAGGAAACTTGTTCATGCAACACATTTGACATTTTCAGTGTTTTGAGGAGTAAAATGAGCGTTTTTCATATGAACTTTGCAGAAGACGTGGTTTAACAAAGACTTTTAGTATCGCAGCCATGATTCAGCCATTATTTTTTATTAATCGTGGCCCATGTATTGAGGTTTGTATCGTATTGGCAACTTCTTAATGATACCCGGCCCTACTGATTTGTACATGTCTTTACCTGTTACATTGCAATCAATATTTCCTCAAGATAAGATGCTAGATTACTAATAAACTTCTTTATTGACTCCTACATAGAAACAATAGCCATAAGTTATTGTACTGTAAAACGCACAACCATAAAAGGCACTGTAACACACGTCTAGACAGGATCATTTAGAATACAAAAACTTACAGTCATTTGTAATAATAAAAGGGAAGCATTGTCACACTACTTTAACTCCCTGTGGGTCCTGTTGAAAAAGCATTAGAGGATGGGATAATGAGCCTTAAATGACACATTCAGGCCTAATAAAAACACCTGCAAATACAATATTTCTTCAGCTCGTAGCATCTCATTCATGTGGCCTATGTAGTATAATCCTCTGTTATTTTTAAACATTTAGGGAAATATGCACAGAGCACCAATGCATAACAAACTGAACACTGCATGCTACTTTGCTCATCCTTTTCCACATGTTGTATCAAAGTGTCCATACTTTGGCTATGCATCGCACACCTATCAGCTGACTGTATGATAACTTGTTGAATTTCCAGGAGGGTGTCTTGTCTGGAGTGTAAATCAGAGTAGGATCACCACTGTGGAACCACTAATAGTGTGTTAGCTAATGTAATTAAGTTAAACCTGTAATGTGTTTTGCTTAAAGATGTTCTGGATGAACAGGACTGTGTGATTTAATCACATTTCGATTCAAATCTATTATTAAGTGCTTTCAATGCGCATGTGTTTTGTTGCTCTCTGAGATACGTCACCTGATTATATTTTATCTGTTCATTCTCTTTATTTGATGATGAACTACCTTCTCTCTAACCAAATCATTGTTTGAATCATCAAGATTTCCTTTATGATTAAAAACATGTTTTTAGTCGAGTAGCCCTAGGCCTGTCACGATAACACATTTTGAAGTACGATATATTGCTGTAGAAAAATATTCAGATAAATGATAATATTGAATTTGAAACTGCTTATATGACTGACGCAGTAACCCTGAAACATGATTCTCCTGTAAACCTTTTTTGTATGAACGAAATTCTAAATAAAATGTCTAGTAATAAATAAATGGTATAATTAAACATTTTAGTAGTTCATTTTAGAATCTATATAGTATCACAGATGTTAATTATTTGACAAACTGGGTCCAGTCAAGCGGTAACGGAGGGAAACAGGGGCAGATTTTTTACATTCAGATAGCTCTTATTCAGAAACTAGAGGGACTATTGAAATAAGTAAGGTATCAGAATGTAGGAAAGAGTTAGCACTCCAACAGGGTAAAGTTAACCCTGCGATACTTTTTCAAGTTGTTGACAAAAAATTTAAAAACTCATGTCGGTAACAGAGAGAATGAAATATGCAGCACTTTTTGGGCAATAAATACAAACAGCGATAACTACCGGTTCTCCCTTACATATCCTTAACAAACTGGTTTGAGTATTTGCTTAATATAGTTTTCTACCATATGATACAAGATTAGGTTGAAAAACCTCTTGCACCTTCATCAACAGTTCAAAGATCGAATAATACAAGATATGATGAAATACATCAATTTATTTACATGATTTGCAGGTCTTTGAAGTTTGGGAAATAATTTTTGTTCCATGTTGCATACATGGTATGTTTAAAATGTATGTAACTTTAGAACTAAAAATGGTACAGAAAAAAGGTAAACAGTTTCATAAATTAGAGTACATATGTATCTGTTGAATACATTTTTATATCAGATGCATTAACTTGGCCTTGCTGTATACTGATATATTAATTATCGTGACAGGACTAAGTAACCCTACCAAAAATGTGTTTTGTCCAAGCTTCAAGACAAACTGTGGTTGAACAAAGGCTATAAAAATATGCACATAGTAATGGATCCTATTTGCTCTCTGCGGTGTTTCCCATTAGAACGCCACTGTTTTGCCTGAACAAGCCCTCCCCAGC